ATTTAGTTCTGAGTTAAATCTGTTAATTCTTATACTGATACTTTTTGTAATTTTGGAATTAATTAAGGCATCTTCACTGTAATGTAAGATTAAGATAACAAATGAATCTCAATTACACAATCTAAACTTAGAAAGAGTTTATAAATTGACACAGATGTACAGGTATGATTTCTAAAACATCTTACTGAAGGACATAATGGTGATAAAGCAGATCCATAGCATTTACAGGCACTTTTTTATTCACAGGGGTTTCATTCTTCATTTATTGTATCTAAATTAACTATCTAATTGAATTTCTTATTGTACTTGAAAGTTGAAGCTACATTAATTCATGTAAAATCAGCCATTTTTTCTCAAGATGGAATAGGGCTGCACGATAAATCGCATGTGATTATCATGCGCATCTCATCAGTAAAGCCGGTTCTGTGATTAGTAGTAAATCTAAAAAAATTTGTAGTAAATATTGCGTAGCTTGTCAGTGAACTACGGCTCTGTGTATTAAATGCCGCTCCATCTGAAAGCACGTGATGGAGATTTACTACTAATCACAGAACCGGTTTTACTGACGAGATGCACATATTAATCGCATGTGATTTATCGTGCAGCCCTAAGATGGTAAATGTTCAGACTCAGATAACGATTTTAGATAGAGCCAAACTCTTTCAGTTGTTTACAAACATTTACAACATCAGCAAAGTGTTTGTTAGTTTTTGAATCAAATACTAAGTGTTGGTTTGTGCTGAAGGTAACTACAAGTATCGTAAGATCATTTTTGTATAATTTGGGGTGTGTGACATTGTGACTGTGTAAATAGACTTTTGTCACATTAAAAAGCTCAATGTTAAATCCTATATGCCACTGTATACAAACTTGGATGGGGGAATAAATGGTTGTTTAAAAAAAGCCTCCAAGTCAAGCATAGATTTTCTAGTCTGGAGAAGAAAGGTATGTTTACAATAGCGAATGTACAGCGAATTTGCCTATAGTCAAAAGCACAGCTCACGCAAAAGTCAGTTTCAAAGCAAGAAGTTTTCTGTTGCTCAATGTGGCAAATTCACGTGACCATCTTGAACCTGTTGCGAAACCTATGTGTGACAATCTTTTGCACTTACACTAAATTTTGAATGTATGGATTCCGATTGAAACAACTGGATTTCGTTGAATAGTGGTAAATGTTAGTGGTGTGTTAGCTTCTTTTTAAAGCTCAGTTGGGATAGGTTTTTTTTTTTTTTTTTCCTAATGCATTGTCATTTCCTTATGGCCACATGGACATTTTGTCTAATCATTGTTTTTGAAAACAAAAAAGCAATTTCCGACAGTTTCCATATTTTTTTTTTTAGTGACTACACAAAATATGGTAGTGTTTATGTAGTAATTCATCCCTCAGGTCTCTCACAACTGCACAGAACTGTAAACCATTCCCTTCTGTGTCACCATGTGCTGGGTCATGTGGTCTGTCAGGGTTGTTTGGTGTGAATCAAAGCCTCATAGATGACAGACAAGAGTGTTGGACGTACTGTACCAACACAGTAAAATTCTCTGATGTACAATTTACAATGCCAACACTAAAAAGTTCACTTTTAAATGTAGTTTATCTTGGTCAAGGGGCCAGGCCAGAAAGATATTCCCTCAAATGCACTGGTAAACATTAGCAGAGGCCTCCTTTGAGCCAGGTCAGGGAACCCTGCCATAAGTCAGCCATTCTCATATATATGAGGCGGAAAGTGACAACCACCACGCGCGTCTGCCCACACGAGTGCTTGCTGGAGATCTGAAAGTGAGCAGGAGAGATTAACCAATATGTAACTTGATAGGCTTTCTTGATACCCCCGTCTCACTCTCCTCTGATCACTAACCACGGCCACATGTGGAAAACCTGACCAAACATAAAAATGAGGTGGAAATCTGTACATGAGCTTCTTGTAAGTATCTCCATATGGCCAGTTTGTGTGTACTCAGCAGGAAGGGCGATGAATAAGAGCCCCGCTCATGGCTAACCCCAGGTGGATCATATATAAATAATAGCGCTGCCTTGACAAGTAGGCTTAGCATTGGCTCTCGGCTTTTAGTCTTTGAATCTCACCATTGCTTGTTATTTGCTCTAACGTGTGAATAAGTTACCTGATGGTTGTCAGCTATCATTCAAAAAAGATTTAAGATGAATATTTTTGAATTGCATATAAAACTTCCATCCATTTGGATTACACAGTTTTACAAACTAATAAACTTAATGTGATGCATATTTGTCAGTCATGCATAAATTAAAGAAGTAAGATTTCTGTAATAGTACTAATAAACTAAATGTGTTTTAACTGTACAACAACCAAGTTTAAATATTTATAATCAATAAATCCAATTTTTTAACTTTAACTAATTGAATGTTGCATGTTCTACAGCTAGCCATAACCATGTTCTGGATTTTGTAATGGAATATATTTAATTGATTTCACACTGAACAAATTTATAGTGATTCTAAACTAATTTATGCTGAATCTAATGTATTCAAATTTGAATAAATGCAATTTGAAAATATGATTGTTTAAAAAAAAATCTAATGTATGCAAATAGTTGATAATAAACCATGTCATGACGTTTTTGAGTGTACCTGTTTCTAACCTGTTTAACTGATGTATGACGGACAAATAATCATCACATTCATTTTATGTTAATACTGTGTAATCCAAATGGATGGAAGTCAAATACATAAATATTTAAAGTCGTTCAACCAAAAATGAAAAAATCTACTGAAATTTACTCACCCTCAAGCCATCCAAGATGTAGATGAGTTTGTTTCTTCATGAGAACAGATTTGGAGAAATGTATACTGCAGCATTACAATACTTGCACACCAAAGGATCCCTTGCAATTATTGATAATCTAAACAGCTGATAAAAATCATCACAATAATCCACAAGTAATGTACACAACTCCATTCCTGAGGAAACAAACTCATCTACATCTCAGATGGCCTTAGAATAAGTACATTTTCAGCAAATTTACATTTTCCGTTGAAATATTACTTTAATTTAGGCTTAAATATTTTTAGAGGTTATCTAATAAGATCCCAAGGTATTTGCGGCAATCATTTTACACATTATGAAACACAGGGCGAACAGTTGAGTAGTCTTTTCAGCACAAAAACTGACCAGAGATCCATTTAAGTAGCCGCTCAATGTGCTGAAATAGGGCTGCGCCAGAAACTGTAAACAGAATTTAATTTATGAGAGATGTTTGTGTACATTTTCTAGTGATCTTGGCAGCAGTAGTCTATCAAATGATGATTAAACAATAGAGAAGAGTTATAACCAGCATAACCAGTATATATAAAGACATGAAATGTGGTTGAGCACACTTTCTGCATTTTCTGCATCGTAGCAGTGGAGTGATGCAGTACAGTCCCTCTAAAATATGCCAGATGGCAGTCTGCTGCATCCTTCACAGCTTACTTCAGATAAAGAATGCTTAGGAGGAGTGCTTATTTACCTGATTTGCATAAATTCTTGAGTGAATCGGGTGCTAAAACAATGCAGAAAGCATGTGCAAATAAACATCATCAAGCACAAATCATTCTGCCACACAGTATTTGTTCCCTATCAGTGTGGCCTTTAGTTTCGGTTGCCACATATCTAAAGTGACGGCCATTTGGATTGTGACTTTTGCAGTTTGTTGTTTAAGATCACTTCCATTTTGTCTGCTTTACTAACAACAGAGCATATAAATCAGTGTCTAGGGAGCTTTCTTGCACTCTCTCTACTCAAGCCCCCTGGTCGCTGCTGGAAAAGTGAGCTAATGAAGAAAATCATGTCCATATGGTATATGCCAAAAGCATATGCCAGAAGTACCCTGTAAAACACAACACTTTCTTTTTTAAGTGGAGGGCAATTTTCTGAATGCATGCCTTGGGCAAACTGTGCTACTTACGTACAGTACTTACCATGAGGGCCAGAATAATGAAAAATGTATGCGGTTTTTTAACATTGCTTCATTCCCTAAATTTGACTAAGCTGCTTCCCTCGGATTCTGACAGGGTTGGCGACTTTAAGGGACTAAAGGACTAAACGTTTTCCAGGGTTTGAGCTAAAGGTGGGGGGCTGAGAGGTCCTGAACCACTGTAAGAATTAAGGGATCTACTATAAGTCTTTATTTATTGCCCTGACATTTTTTTTTCTTTTCAGCACTCATTCTTTCCAAGTTTCTGTCTGAAATTTATAAAGGTGCCTAAGTGCACAATACATAGTTTTATGAGGCATTTACAGATGGGACTGCCACTGTGGATTCATCACTGCTTTAATTTCAAGTTACGTGTTTATACACGTACTGGCATAGATATGCAATTTTACCTGATCTGTTAAAAAATAATAAATTCATTTATCCTTTCATTTAAACCCATGGAGATTTGGGAGAGAAACAATTTGAGCAAAATGTGTCAAAAAAACTTTTAGGCTTTCAAAATGCCTGACAATATAATTTCCACTAAGGGAAAAGTTATTTGAAGACGGATCAGTTTTGACAGATGTTTTCTTTAATCGGTGGATTGTCTTTGATTTAATTAGCGTATGTCGCTTACATCACTGAGGTTTGAATAAATTATCGTTTTATAATTTGATTTAAATCTTGATGCTGTTCCTAACTGGGGGAGTTACTCATTTTACCTGCCAAAGTCAATTTTTACTCTCATTGGCGCTTTGTGAGTGTTAATTTGGGACCCTGATAGCAGCTATTGGACTGGTCATGGTCATGTGCTTCTAAAACAGTCTGGTACATGAGTATTCATTTCACTGACTCTTTTTCTCTCTGCATCTAATTCTCTTTTATGCCCTTCTCCTTTCCTTTCTTGTCTTTTTATTGGCCTTTTATTGTTCGGAAAAAAGAAAAAAAAACAATATTGTGGTTCAAGGCTTGTGACCCAGCTTAAGTCTCCTGCAGTGATTGCACAGTAACTATGGAGGAGACAGCGCACAAATACAAGTGAACATGTGTTGTGTTGTGTTGTTTTGTAGGGTCCCCCTGGTCCGCATGGAAACCCAGGCCGCCCAGGGACCCCCGGACCCAAGGTACGTACCACTGAATACAGATTTGTAATGCTTTTGTGGATGCTAACAAACTAGTTTGTTGGAACTGTGAGGCCCCTTTTGGTTACGCTTTATTTTGATAGTCCACTTTAGACATTCTACTAACTATAAGTACTAATTCGCATTAATTCGCATTAATTTGCAACTACATGTCTACTAACTCTCAGAGTAGACTGTTAGGTTAGGTTTAGGGTTAGTAGAGTAAGTTGACATATACTTGCAAACATAGTCTCATAGTCAGTATGTTTTATGTTGTGGACCCATCAAAATAAAGTGTTAGAAGATATTAAGCAGACAGTCTACTAATTCTCTAATGACTGCTAGTTGACATGTAGTTGCAAAGTTACTTACTGTTAGTAGAATGTCTAAAGTGGACAATCAAAATAAAGCGTTAACCCCACTTTTGTCAGTTCTTGTTTAGTTTTGTTTGTTTTTTGTTTTACGAAGCAATTTGTGATGACATTGATCAGTATGTTTGGACATACCATAACAAAAACCCGTGCCCGTAAGATTCAAGTCTTGAACTTATTAGTGAATTCCTCAAACTCAAAAGGGATCATTAAACATATGCATGAGCTTTGATCTACTCAGCGGCTTCTAATTATGAGCCATATGCACTTTAAGTAGCACTTTAATAGGTGATTGTGTATTTTTACAACAGTGATATCACAAGGTAGACTATGTCAGTAGACTACAGTACTACCATAAAAAAACACTACTACTTTGGGACCAATAGAAAACCAGTAACTACCATCTACGTTTAGCTGTTGTAAATTAAAAGAGAAACAATAAAACATGAGTAGCTGAATTCTGATAAACGTTGGCAAGAAATATGGGTGAAGTACGAGTTTGACGACATCATTGGACCTGCTTATTTCCATTCACACTTTTCACAGTTGTTCATTTTACCACATCTGGCTGCTTGTGGAAGTCTTACAATAGACCAGGAGAGCAAAGATCTTTCTTTGCCATATGAAGGCGAGTCCAAATTTCAAATTCCCATTACTTACTGTTACTGCCAGTTGGGACAAGGATGAGACAAATAGAAAGAGGGAAGAGCAAAATGAGAGAGACAGACCCACAAAACTAACACATCAATGCAGTATGTTTGTTGTTGGCTTCCTAGCAGTCGTTTCTCTCTATAAATGTATTCAAATAGCAATTATTTGGTCATTCATTGAGCGGTAAACCATCAAATGATGGATAAGAGCATTATAACTGGCATGTATCCAGAGACACATGGTGTAGACAAGCACACTTTTGGCTTTTAAGAGCCAATTTTGGTGTCTGAATTGCAGTGTTGGAGTGAAGTTGTACATTCACTGCAAAGTACAAGCCTGGTGAATTCTTCACAACCAAGCTCAAAACCTACAAGATTATGCCATGCAAATTGCATTCGGCACAGATTTATGGGCATGTTTGCACTCTTACCTGATTTACATAATTACTTTGGTGAAACAGCCGCAAAAACAATGCCGGAAGCATTGTCAAACAAAAAACAGCAGATTAACTGCTTAGATTGATTGGAAGAAAAAATATGCTAGCACTTGTACATGTGTTTGAATCATAACCATAACGCATGGCTTCATCCCATTGCCTGAAAAGGCAGAAGAATGTAGTGTGTGAACCCCAGTGTCATTGCAGAGGCTTACTGTAAACTTATTCTCACTAGCGTACACGGGTCACTCTCTTGTGTAAACAACACTCCTTTCCTTTGCTAGCCTGCATTACTCCATGGAGACTATATAGAAAAATTAGGAGAGGAATTCTGTTACAGTGTTCTCTTTGGAATGGATTTAGAGCAGGGGTCACAATAACTTCCCAGTAACCTCCTCATTTCCTGTGCGATGTATACATGGTTCAAAACAACAGTGAGTGGTGTGTCACTGTATGTTGTTTGAAAAGTCTTTTAATTTAAAAGCCTTTTAGGCTGGTATACTCAGTTTAACTTTTATGAAAGCTTTGTATAATCTAAATACACCTCATTCTAATATTTTAATTTTTTCCATGAGTGGTAGTTTGGATCAGTTATTTGTCTTCTGTGTGTTACAGGGAAAAAAGGGAGACCCTGGAATCTCACCTGGCAGAACACCAAATGGAATAAAGGTATGTGTTTTAAAGTATGGAATAATGGAATAAAGAACGGAACCAAATAGAATAAAGTATATTGTGCACTAGCAAACTTTTTTTTCATGCTTAAAATGATGCACGTTCTTGCATTAATCAACACACTGATTCTTGAAAATAAAAACAAAAAATAGCAGCTGGTAAGTTTATAGGACATGTTAAAGAAAAACTGAAATATAAAAAAACTATTTAAATTAACTCTTTTTTAATATATTTATTTATTTTAAAATGTAATTCATTCCTGTGTTGGCAAAGCTGAGTTTTCAGTCATTATTCCAGTCTTCAGTGTCACATGATCCTTCAGAAACCATTTTAATATGCTGATTTGCTGCTCAAGAAAAGAGAAAATGTGGTGCTCAGTTGTAATGTTTAATATTTTTGTGGAAACCTATAAGCCTGAAGGACTTGATTAGCTGGATCAGGTGTGTTTAATTAGAGTTGTGAAAGTAGAGTTTAGGGCTGTGGCCCTCCAGGAACTTTTTTTTTTTGCACCCCTACCTTAAGGCCTGGGACACACTAGACTATTTTCAAATCTTAACCGATTTTAAAACTGGTGGAGACCACCACAGTTTTAACTGACTTTTAACATTATAATCCTCCTGCCAATTATAGTATCATTTTCATAGTGAGACGAGATCTCACGTAGACTTGCGAAGAAATTAGAATAACATAGTAGCAAACAAGTAGCATATACTTCGCTATATACGTGTACCAGAATAGTATGTGCATACTGTACGCACATCATCTGATTTTTGGACAACACTAGCCTGGGCCATTTTTTCACAGTAGAAAATGAAACAAAAGAGACTGAACAACAACAAAACAACAAAATAGCGGAGACTATTATAACAGACGGCTGCATTGACAAGCGCTTGTGTGAGAGGGTTATGTACTCCTTTAAACTAAAGAGGCAACTTTAGTTTAAAGGAGTACAAAGACAATTTTATCAATCATAACTTCTGGAGAAAGTAGAGCAGACGCTGGATAAAAATGAAGCTTTCTAGAGCACATGTGATGACCGCCTGCGTTCATGCAGGCAATCAAATGGAGTATACTTTGAAAAGGTTGTACGTTCGACTATACGCATACGCTAGCGTGCACTTAAAAAAACTGAAGTATACTTTGGACTTAAGTTACAATGTGTGGTGTCTCTGAATATGTTAGCACTGCCAAATTTACCATACCAGGAGTAATTTTCAGTGTTTTCCTTTTTAGGGGGACCCTGGGATATTAGGGCTACCCGGACTACCCGGTCAAGCTGGTCGGAAGGTAAGAGTAATTCTTTGATTCTAGGGAGACTCCACCAATGTCACGTCACAGAACGGATCTAAGCATAGTTCCCAACCCAGATGTTTGGAAATGTTCAACACACTTAATTTGCAACAGCATAGCATCATGTTTTTCCAGGAAACATTATTGCTTTATCAGCCCTATGCTAAAGTAATCCCTCACATACAGTCATACCACGGTTTATTCTGGATGGCGAGACATCAGTCCAACTCAGCAAATGCGAAACAGGTTCTTGTGTCGAACTCCTCCTAAAATCAGTTGTGTGAAATCCCATTGGAAAAGGTTCTTGTAGTAGACCTCACGGAAGCTTAGAGCATTTCCCCTGCTTTTCTAGAAAGAAACCCAATTTGTTTCAGACATGTCCACCTGACCTTGATGTCCTGGATGCCGCTGTTAATGGGATAGCCAGCGCATGACCTCATTGTAGTCCAATTCCAAGGGATGTCTGTGGAAAATTCCTTTTAAAATTATGTGGTTTACCTCCATGTAGTGTGTGTATATTATTTTGAAATGTTCTTTACCTAACAGGACCAAATAGGTGTCATTATAGTACAACAGAAGAGGTAATGGGTTCCAAATCAAATGAACAGACAGCACTTTGGCCAGGGCAGAAGTCCTGCTTCAAAACAGTCATATTTCCAGTGAACTTATACACTGTCTACACCGCTGAGATGAAATTGGCTCTGCCAGGTCCCTCTACTAACACTTTCAGACAGCCATTTGCAATTGCAAAGACGCCCATATTCACTTTCTCCAAAGGGGAAAATTTGCTATTAAGCTTTTAGAAAACCTTCACAGATGGCATTTTCAATTGGATTTGTGAATTTGGCATTCAGTACTTTGGCATTCTAAGAAGTCATTTTAATGCTGTTTAAGTGCTGTTGAGTAGCACACGTAGTCACACAACACACACAAAGAGACCCATACACGTGCGTCGTATTATATCATCAGTTTTACATATATTCATAATCAATGGTGTTTGTTTGAACGTTTGGATCAAAACGACTCCCTGAAACATTGTAAAGTAATGGAATTACCTGGCATTTTCTTTTTCTCCATGTGTTTCCAATCACACAGCCACAGATATAAAACAAAATATTAAAAGCTGGTGGAAAATGGTTGCAGACACTACTTGTGCTAAATTACTGCTGGCAACGAACCATAAAGTTATTCCATCCATGGGCCGTGGCCAAAGAGAAAATCTTGTAACAATAAAACAAATGAAAAATGTAATGCTCAAACGTACCGTAAAGTAACACATGTACAGTAAGTAGAAGTGACACATTTGGTCATATGTGCAGGTAATGATCGATTGGGATTGAGTTATGCTTTTAATTTCAAAATATTGAGCCATGTACAGTCTTTCAATCGTTTCACACTCGCGCTCTGGGGATCAGCAGATGTGGACTCTGGCACAGCTGGACGGTGTGCTGTAATAGGACGAGTGTGGGCTACTAACGTCTGCTTGGAGATTGTAATGCTCCACCCCTTCTCTTTCTCACTGAGATTCACTGGGACCCTTTTGGCAATGATCGTTTATACACTATATTTGTCATTTGGTTTGTGTAACTGTTTTATAGACCCAAGATGTGAATGGTGAACCGTTGCACGGCATGTATATGTTAGTATTTTTTCTGTGATGTGTCCTGAAGTGATTTCTGTAGAGCTGACTCCACATCATTCGTCATTACAAGCTCCAGATTCCTTTCTTCTTACTCATATTCCCACACTCAGCTGCTCTGTGCTCAATTGCTTATCTAAGTTCTCCAGTTTTTATGTTTTCAAAGCAAAGCATCTAAGGCAAGCATCACTATTATTATTGCTCATAATGAAGTAAAAGGATTTCAAACTCCTTACCCAAAGTATTAAACTAGTAACACTTTTCAATATGGTCCTTGAAGTTAACGTTAGTTGATGCATTAACTGACAATGAGCAATACATTTGTTAGTAATCTTTGTTAATGTTATTTATTTCATTAGCTCATGTCCATTAAATAATATTAACAACATTTATTTTTGATGATTTTAATGATGTCTTGGTAAATGCTAAAAGTAACTTTAAGATTAATAAATGTGGTAACTCTTTAGATTAGGGAACCTGTTCACTATTAACCAGTTGCTTATTAGCAGTTTATTAATTAATTATTATTATATTCATATTTACTGGCATATTTGCTGTTTATTAGTACTTACAAAGCACATATTAATGCATGACCATATTCTAGATCCCATAACCCCACCCAATACCTAAACATGAGTACTACAACAACTACCTTACTTTCTATCAAAAAGCAGCAAATTAGGAGTTCATTGAGGGAAAACTCTTCTAATCTAAATTGTTACTATATATGCTTTAGTGGTATTTGTAATTGTTAGTTAACTAATAGTTAACTAATGTTAACAAATGGAACCCTTACCATTACATTTTTGTGACAAATGTAAATGACCTTTTTTTTAATAATAGTGTGCAAATTCTTTTCTTTATGATCAGACACAGATTTTGCCACGCAGGCTGTAAAACAGGCAAAAAAAAAAAAAGTTTTTTTCTGGTTTGCTGGATTTAAAGAGTTTTTGGACACTTCTGTAGACCCCAGCTACAGTATATCAACTAAAGACCAGCTAAATCTGGCTTGGAGGCTGGTTTAAGCTGTCTCTTTTAAACATAGGATGGAGTCTTTTAATGTGGTCCATTAAATAACCACCTGGAAACCACCTAAATGTGCTAGCAACCCTATAGCAATGCACTAAAACACTTTAAAAACCTTAGTAGCTGCATGGCAACCATCCGCAAAATCCTAGCATCATGTTTTGCATAGAAAATTTTAATTAGGGCAAACACCGCTTGTGTTTGTTTATAAAAGTGTATAAAAAATTGAAATTAAGGCCAGTAAGAGGCCTGGTTGAAAACAGTCAAACCATAATTAAACTGCTACAGTACAGTAGACACCAAAACCTTGTGCTGACATTATGTGGCATGGTTTAAGTGGAAAACCTAGCAGTATTGAAAGGAAATTTCATAATATTTGGGTCTTTAGCCTTAGGCATTGGCTGGAAATAAATCTTCGACAGGGATTAGAGTGCTATAAAACACAGTTAAAACACAGTTCTCTCAGCTAAAAATTGTCTTTTTTTTTTTTTTTTATAACTGGGCTTTTGAACACATTCCCTGCCATCTGCCACCTGAGTAATAGGAATATGTTCAACACCTCGTATGTGTAAACATACCTGGCAATAAAGCTCATTCTGATTCTGATCAACAAACTCAGCCCCTTGACCACATCTGTTACTGGATATCAGTCTCATAGATGTCCTTGGTTGTAATAGTGTAATTATCAGAGGTGGGACCAAGTCATTGTTTTGCAAGTCACAAGTAAGTCTCGAGTCTTTGCATTCAAGTCTCGAGTCAAGTCCCGAGTCAAGACAGACAAGTCCCAAGTCAAGTCCCGAGTCAAGACAGCAGATGGGGTATGTTGTAACACTGCGTTACCATGCTATTCTATGACATTAGTGATGTAATTCACACTATTTACTTTAATATATTTTAATGATAAACGACGATAAACAGGTGAATAAAGACTGACAGTCAATGTTTAATGTTAAGAAATTATTATTTCAAGACATGTAAAGCATTTTTGCTCGTTTATGTGGGCCGTCTCAAGCATGGTCGCAATGTGTTCATTGTCAAACTCCAAAATCAGAATATTTTTAATTCTTAAAAAACGCCATTATTTTATTTGAAATAAATAATTATTTTATTTTATTGACAAAATATTTTAGTTTGTCTTGTATATTTTTTTCATTCGATCAGATAGCATTTTAAGGTGTTATATGTCACATTTCACTTCCAATTTTTGAGGGTAAATAAAGAAAAACGTATACACTGTAATTATGAAACAAAGCGACATATTTGTACTAGACAAGTGTGAAATTACTGTGGATAAAAAATATATACTCTGAACCCCATGTGTATTTACACAATTTGAGAAAGTCAAAAAGTGTTACTTTGTGCCTCGCTCTCCCCTATATATAGGTCCGGGTCGCAAAAGACCCGAATATGTAATAATGATTGGCGAAACATTCATGCATTTAAAGGTTAATGGAGGTTTAAAAAAAAAAAATGCACATGCAATTAAAATATGTAACTGATCGAACAAAAACTGTGGAGATCTGCGAGTCACAGGGCTCAAGTCCAAGTCAAGTCTCGAGTCATTGCTGTCAAAGTCTAAGTCGAGTCTCAAGTCTTCTTTAATTATGTCGAGTCGAGTCGCAAGTCATCAAATTTGGGACTCGAGTCCGAGTCAAGTCTCGAGTCAAGTGACTCGAGTCCACACCCCTGGAAATTATATTAAACTGTATTGTCGTCACAGATTTACTGAATGGGATGGAAAAAAGAGCCAGTTACTGCAGGGGGAAAAAAAAACTTTTGCATTTACTCAGCCAGAGGTGAATGACCAATTGAGAGGAAGACCTTTGGCACAGACTGTGAAATGGAACTAGAACAAGCTGCGTTTTTTGGAATTGGAGGCGTCCATTCATATTTACCTGGAAGAACATCTGTGTCTGCAATAGTTTCATGAAGTGACACTCTTGGGTCAAGAGAGAAAAAAAGTATATTTGTTCCTTTTTCTGTAGCTAAGGATTACATAAGATAAATAGTGCAAAAACAGTTCAGATACTGCAGACTGTCTTGGATTGTCTTTGTTTTGGACCAAAACTCCAACTGTCAGATGTTTTTAAAGATGAACTAAATCAAGTTTAAATTGAGTGGCTAAGAGCTAAGCTGTCTTGGTTTAAGTTAGTGATTTAAATTTATGAATCAAGTTCCCAGTGGAGTGCTGCTGAGATATTGTGTCTGCTGTCTGCTGTTCAACTGTATCATCAAATGGGCTTTGTGAAGTCAGGCAGAAAAAATGTTTTGTTTGTTGTCTGCATGAAATCAGATTTTTGCAAACCATATTTACTTGTGGCTTGAAATCTGA